TCATATAAAAACTGACCATTGTCGGTCATTGAAAAAATTACAAAGAAAATTACTTGAATTTGGTCACATTCCATCTTAAATGTATTCTGAAATCAGTTCATTTATGAACATCCACATCTCAGATAATTATCTTGCAGATTATTTTTTACAAAAGTCCTGTCTACTTTATCCTGAAAGAAGAAATTTGTAATTCATCCGCCGTGATGAACAATATATTCAACTCTATGGATAATACTGTGTTACAGAGGGAATATAGGTAAAAGTTATGTTGTCCCTATCCCAGAACAACATGCCAGTAAGTTGTACAGAAGGCGTATAAATAAAATTCCATCAATCCAAGACTTCCGATATTGGTGAAAGTAACTGAGAAGTTTAAAGTCTAACTACATAACCCCAAACGAAAAGAAAAACGGGCACCTGCTGCAAAGGTGGCTACATGACCCCTAAGTGATGGATTTCGTGACATGAAGAAAAAATTCTCTTCTGAAAGAAATCAAACCTATACCATTTAGCTGACAGCCAGTCTCACTGGAGGTTTTTTATGAAACTATGACAACCGTACAATAAACAAAGCAAGTAAAAATGCAGTGGAAATCAAAACATAACAATTGATCAGCTCTGCAACGTTCTTGCCACGATTTGACATTCACTGAAAGAATTTACGACCGCAACCTTCTCAAGAACAGAATCATCTCCACAAGAACTGTCTTTCTTTATTTTCTTAAGTGCAGTTCTCGGTATTTCCATATAAAGTACAGAACCCCTAAACTTACAGTTGCAGTGATAATTTCTGCTGAAAACTGTCTGTGTTTCTGACATACACTCATTTTTATTATATACCACAACATAACAAAACAGCAAAATGATCTATGTTATAAATGTTCGTCATTTTTGCCAATATACAAACATTATTACGTAGCCTCTAGACTTCAACAGACGCCCGCTTATTTAACAAAAACTTAGTTTTAACACCAAAATAAAACATTTTTCGAATAGTGCACTCAATAACCCCTACAAAAGCCACGTAACCAAATCACTTCGTCTTGCGGTACTATTTCGTTGATGTATTCAAACAAGCATTTGGCGTTATTGTTATTAATGGTTCTATTTTATGACAATGTCATTTGCTCCTATGCTAATGCTTCAAAAAGGACTTATCACAAAAATTTCGTCTGACATATCAGCTATTAATGAAATATTAAATTCAACTGAGATTTTGTAAAGTTTCACAAAACTGAGTTAAGGCACGAAAAATACGTGTACACCAGCAAAGATTTTACGAAAATACTGATTATGGACTTCTTGGTTATGACACCACGTGGTTAACATTTCGCATTCACCTTCACACCAACATTTTTAGATGCAGGTTATATCAATAGTAAGATCTGCGCGTTATAGAGCAGGTGCGTTTCAAAACCCTCCTAACAATTTCGTAATCGACTGGTACCTTCAACGATAAATAACATAAACAATTTCGTTCAGTTTTAGTATAGCACAAACAAAGAATGAAACTGCAATAATATGTTTTGGCAAGCAAATTTGTGATCCAAAATCCGATGGTCTGCACAGACCAAAATATTTGTCTGAATTACTGACTGTAAATATTTCTGTGAAAAAATCTGAGCATTACTTTGTAGCCACTTTAAAAGTTGATACATCATCATTAATAGTACTTTATGAAAATTTATGAATAAATGTAGATTTAAATAAATACATGATTTAAGCCATTATTGTTATATTAGTAAGCAACATAACAGACTTTGCCATTAATAATAAATTACCATCTTACTCATTTCTCTCCCATTCCTGTAGGGTTTACATAATTACAGGAGCATTTTCTTTATCTTGTGGTTAAATTTTAATCTACTGATTTGTATTGTTTGTCGATAGATGGTGTTAATTTAAAAAATCATAGTCAACTGCTGCATGATTTGTGTGTACTACTTTATGTTAACATGAATACCATACATCCTAAGGCTTCAGTGCGGTTTCTTTTTAATTTATAGTAATGTTGAAATTATGTCACAATTCTGTTTATTATTTAATACATTGCAAGACTTGGTATAACGGCATCAGTGAGGAGTTTAATCCTGTTATTTGATAACAAGCAAAAAATTGTGAAACCCACATTTATAGTAGCATTTTTTAAACACAGTATATCATACACTGTTTAAAATTCCATTAATTTTGTTTGTTTATGTAATACTTTCACTACCAAAATTTACTCATTAAATTATAACTAATCATCAAAATATTTTGTTGATTTTTGACATACATTCTGTACACGCATTTGCCTATCTAATTGAAATCACTGCTTTTCCATCCGCAAGTTTAGCTAGAATTCAAATGCCCAGCAATGAATGTGTTTATGGCACTTGATCATCACAGATAACGTGGAATGAAATCTCTTTTATTGCAATTTCTTGTCTTACATTTTTAGGTGCTGTTTGGTGTTGTACGGCCGAGGGGTGAAGAGTACCGTGTTGGAACATCAGTGTTCTTGCAACCTGGATCATTCAAGTTCAAGACATCAGGCACTGCTGCTGTAACCAAAAAAGATGAGGTCTGTATAGTTCTATAAGCCATTGTTTTGCAGATCTGCAGGTTACTGTCTTCTTGGAGGTAGTGCTCGAACATTCTGTCTGCTCAAGAGAAATGTGAAAGATTCTGTATTCTTGCCATTCTTAGAATGTGAAACAAATATGTTACCAAGATGAGCAAGTCTATGGCATAATAGCTATTGTAAAATTTGCAGTCAATTTTTACCATGTGACTTATCAGTTTCTTGCTCTGCTATAACAAAAACATTAGGAAATATGCAATGGGACACTCACAGAACTACTAATATATTAAGGGAGTTTAAATTCAAGTAAACAATGGAATGTTGTGCCTAAAAGGGTATATACGCCCCATAAAAAGCGCACCATGAAGCAATATTGGAAGCATGGAAGTAAATGTGTACATATTTTACATCACAGCACTTACTGAAAGATAAGTCAATTTCAGGTTCCAGCTGCCTTACTCTCTAGAAACATTTCCTGATACCTACTAGACAGGAAGATGCCAGTCTGAATGTGGTAGCGAAGGGAAGAGGTGTATAAAACATTAATGAGAACAGTAGGTACAAGTAAAATTATATATACAAGAAGTTCTACATAGCAGAAACCATTCTGAAGTGGACAGGCATAAAAAGTTTAAATCATGATGTAAGATGAGCATTAATTTATCAGGAACAAACTGTGCAATATTTTACCAACATTTTGCATCCACATGAAGTTACCTAGGAAAAAAACCTCAGTGTCTATTTTATGTCTTGTTATTAAACCCAACACAAACATAATATAAATTAATGATGTGTTATATTAAACCTTAAATAAACAGGATGAAAGGGTGGACTCAATTAAATTTACAACAGATACATTAAACATGAGTACATCTTACAGAAAATAAGAACCATACATGTCACTGGAATAAAAATAAGCATTATGACTTGAAAAGTCTAGATGCTGTAAAAAAAAATATATATATATATATAATATTACTGGATAGTTACAAAAACAAAAGCTGACTGAGATCTGAAGTGTTCAGGCCAGTGAAGTTGATGATGTTCTCTGCTGTGATAACAAGTGAATTTGTAGGTAGTCACATTTTGGGGAAAAATGATGTCTCCATTTTTTATGTTTCTCCAAAATGCTGGTATCTACATACCATATCCACTTCACAGCACCATGGCACGCTGTCACTGAGTTATATTAGGAAAGGAGGAACAGCTAGAAAATCACACTGGGCAATCAACATCTAAAAACATGCATCAATGCTAACACCACACCAGGAACAATGACACAGAACTTACCACATGCACACTTTTAGTATCTGCCAGCCAAGCATTGTACATTTCTTCAACGTATGCAGATGAGCTACCGTTCAAAAATGGTTCTGTTTGAACAGGAGCATTATAATGCCTTGTAAATGACACCAACACTGTGTAAGATGTTTTGCCAGACCTCAGAAGCCATGATGCAAAACGGTCTGGTCCTGCCACATTATGAATCAATGGTGCCAGAGGAACCAAATTGTTCAACACTGTCCGAACACGATGCATGTTTATTGTTTTTGGTTTTCTAAAATAAAGGATACACACTTTTTTCACTACTTCTGGTACTTTTCACACACATAAACAACTTCAACAAATACACCTTAAAAATTCTGATAAATCTCATTCTTGTAACATGTGAATGAAAGGTACATCTGTATGTTTCAGAAAAAGACCACGGATAAGTTTAGCGCTTAGTCACTCAATGTGAAACATTCCATACCCAAATACTTTAGCTTGGATCCAACTTATTTATAGTCCCGTACTTACATCGCGAAAACTTCACCAAATGACTTACTGCCAGTTTCTTTCAGTTTTCACATCATTCGATAAAAATGCTAAAGCAAATTTGCCCAATGGCACTTCAAATTTTCAATGTGACAGTACAAACATAAAAACTTAATTATAAACATAGTTTCAATTAATTTACTACACGTTTCGTCGTTGGATATAGTCAATTATGACATTTCCTGGATAAATATATAAAGCTCGAACTGGCATTTCCAGAAATCTCAACATCATGACATCGCGGACAATGCTTCTTACTGTACAACAAGTCAGATATGTGACCTTAATACCTATTTCAGTCTCATTAAAAAAATAGATTAACACTATTCGAATAACAGCAGGTACAAATACCACGATCGATATTTTTGGCATACAAAAAATTGCGTAGTTACACACACCTTGGGGATTATTGAAGAAACTTATCAATACGTTTTATAATACAAAAAATGAACGTTATGGATATATCCAACACAATGCAAAACTTATCTCATGTAATTCTTACTTCCGTTCAAATTTCACTCTACTTCAATTATCCCCGAAAGCGATGTTATCTATGGACACTTCAGTGAGACGGGTTATGTAACTAGCAGGAACCTTGTACTCATCTCTGCTTTCTACCCACAGCTCTGTATAAATGACATCTGTGCCAAACACCAAGGCTCAAGCTAACTAGATGGCTTACAGAATCCCTTAAGTTCATCACCGAATTAATAAAAGCCCTCCACCGGTCCCTGTACTGGGCCAACAAAATGCAGTCGCCTTCAACTCCTATCTCCCATAGATCCCGCATATTATCCTCTCATCTATGTCTAGGCCTTCAAAGCAGGCTCTTCCCTTCAGTCTTCCTGATCAATACCCACTGCACACTTCTTGCCCCATCCATGCGCGCCACATGTCCCATCCATCTCATTCTTCTGCCGAGCGAGTGGAAAGCGTTTTCCACTTGCGCAGCTTACTCGTCGACCTGATGATGGAGACAGCAAGGACCTCCGACACGTCGGCAAACTTCTACTAGACCACATGCCACAAGAAGCCAGAAGATGCTCATCAACACACATGGTTTTCTCTGTTTACCTCTGGACCAACCGCCTTACTAGTATCAATTAGAGCTTGTGTTTTTCTTTATCCCCAAATAGATTTAAATCATCAGCATAGACCAAAAGCTGGAATGTTCCATTCAATTTCAGTTGCACCTGGTTTTCTTGGATCTTCCTAAAGGAATATTCTAAAGCAATGGCAATAAAGCATCTCCTTGTTTTAGACCATTCTGAATAGGAAATATGTCAGACAAATGTTTACATATACAGACTTTATAACAAGTTTAATTCAAACACATAAACATAAACACAAACTCAATGCTGCACATAAATTCAGAGCTGATACACTTTCTGGCACATTTTTCAGAAACATATGTGTGCCTATTATTATTTAAGGATACATCACAAGAATAAAAACAGGAAAGTTCTCACTGGACCTAAGCACCATGCTACTAAACAACAGACACCTTAACACTAAATGCAGTAGTAAAGTCACATCACACTTTAGCTTTTTCAGCTCCAGAAAAGTCCCCAGCAACAACATATAGAAGACTGAACTTCAGCCCTGAAGATGGACTTAGAATGTATCTCTAACTATAACACAGCGTGCAATGCAGAACTTCACCAACAGACTGCAAGAATGTGTTTGCAGAAATGGTCATCATTTGGAGGACGTCATTTTTAAATCCAACAATTAACTTTCTAAATTTGGTTTTTATCGGCTCATAAATGGCATTTATTTCTCTTTAAGTAAAAAAATATTTTTTTGTTTTTTTATCAAACTATAACTTTGTATTATCATTTCAAAAACCATCAAGTTCCCTGCCGGACCCTGTAGATGCTTACCAACACTTCACTGGAAAACACAGCCTCCATCTTCAGGGTATAACTTTTACAGTCATTATCAAGAAGACCGTAGTCCACATCTCCTACATTCATGATGAAATGCTAAGTTTCCCTGTGCCAAAATAAAACAGAAGTAAAAGGAGGTACCAGTTTCGGAAGAACACAAGTTTTTCCACGCCTACCACAGGATTTGATTCTGATAATAGTTTACATTAACATACATCTAAACTGTTTTATTTTTGATTCTGATCATTTCACTTCAAGTACAAGTGCTCTGGGTTTTTCACACTTGTCACAAGATTGCCCAAGGGACTCGGTGCCGAACGACTTCAAACAACACATAAATCAAACTTCTCAACTCTAAGAAAATTAAAACATTCTGAAGCGTAGGGAAGGCAAAATAAAATGTTAATACTACAAACTGTTTTGTTGTCTACAATCTATATTTTGTGTACAGCACAAACACAAAACAGATTTCTATGAAATACTGACGCCCAACACAATGTGTAGACACTTTTTTATGATAGACACGTGCATTAATTACTTTCAGCTACTTCCTTAATAAGATAAATAGTGTATACAGAGAACTGGGTATTATTTCCTTTGTCAACCCATCTAACCTAACCTCTGACGAGACTGGGCAGCCACTGGGGTAGGAGACAGGGTTTGAAACCTGAACGCCCACTACACCGCACGCAGACAGAGCAAGCATGCTTCAGCTTTAAATACGGTGCTAGTGGGGGATACAGTGAAACCTCTATCCATCGTTCTCCAAACTATCGTTAATGTTACATTTTCCCACTTCTATCCTTCCTCAAACTATAGTTTTATAGCATCGATCGTTCAAAAATCTTAGACCTGGCTCACAATTTTCCCGCAATGATCGCTTCTGAGAAATTATAACGAAATTTACGCAATGTTTTTAGAATTTAAAATGCTGGGTTTTGAGATAAATTAATACCGAAAGACGCACAATGTTTTTGGAATACACAGTAGCAGTAACCTGTTATGTCGCCCAACCAGCACAGATTCTTTTGGAATGAGGGGTCGGCGGTGCAGGGGTGATAGTTGGAGCGAATGGCAGTGCTGCAGTGCTCATTGTCAGAAATTTTATGAGTTTAATTAGGGTACACTCATATTCCGTTCCAGCAAAGCCAGATGGCATGTGCAGTGTGAATTTCTTCAGAAATGCTTTTATTATAAGTACAAAGGAAAGG